GCGGCCGCGGCCCCGGCCCCTGCCCTCCGGCCCCTCGGCGCCGCGCCGGCCTCTGGACGTCTCAAAGTCGCTGAACTCGCTGTCGCTGGCATTGCTGCTGTCATAGGTGCCCACGATCAGCCGGGGGGGCGGGGTCTCCACCTGCTGGACTCTCCTCCTCACTCGGGGCTCTTTGGGCTTTTTGGGGGGCTGAGGCGGGTGCGGGGTGCTCTTCTCGATGATGCGGGCCACATCCTCCAGGGTGCGGCCTTCTTCCTCCAGAAACTGGGTGAGCCGCTCGCGAAATTCGGCCTCCTTGGTCGCGGGCTTGGAGATGACCCTCCAGACGCCCCCGGCCAGCCTGACCTCCCGCGGGATGAGCAGGTAGTCCACGTCCTCCCCGATCTGCAGCATCCCCACCGTGGAGTCCTCCTCCCGGCGGAACACTTTGCCGATCTTCTTAAAGGTCCCCACGGGCTTCAGGGCCTCCACCAGGACATCCAGGTCCACATCTTTGCAGACATCCGGGACGCTCCAGAGGATCAAGCAGTCGGGGGACGGGAGGAACCCCCAGGGGAACCAGCCCCCCACATGGCTTTTCTCGAGGGTCTTTAAGATCTCCAGGGTGGAATCTGGGGTGGGGGGCAACGAGCCCAAACTTCACGAAGCCCTGGTCTTGACGGCGGGGGGTGGGGCGCTAACAGGCGGCCGCAGGCTCAGCTCCAGCCCGGGACCCACCAACTCCGCCCTGTTCCCCTGCCTGCGAAGTTCGGTCTCGACTGAATCCGGTTCGCTCCCCGAGGGCTTGCGGGAATCAGTTCCCGGGATGCTTACGTGAGCCGGTAGCGGCCAAAGCTGGCTCCCAGCTGGGGCGCACGAAGTGCCCGTGGCGCTTTCTGCCCCAGGGACGCGCCTGGAACTTGGGAGAGGACTTCACAAAGGCGAGTCGGCAGAGGCTATTCAATATGGCCGAGGGCTCGAGGCCGCTGCCCAGCCCCCCAGGAGGGTCTCCCGCCCCTAGGCAGGCCGCCACCCGGTCCAAGCCCGACCTTGCCGCCTGCGCCTCCCCAGCCGCGCGCTCAGCGCCTCCGAGCAGGGGCAGGAAGTTCCTCCTCGCGCTCCCCCTGCTGAGGCCCACCTTCTCCCTTCTCAGCTTACACTCCGGGACTCGCAAGACTGACAGGGGGGCTGTCCACTCTCTACCGGGCGGCCTCACTCCCCTCCCCACCAGGGTGTGGCCGCGCCCCGGGGCCTCGCTGGGGCCACCACTTCCAGCTGAATGCCTGTGAGGTCCACGTCAGCACCTTTCCTGAGTAACAAATCTGCCATCCTGAAAGTGAGGGTTCCAGCCTGGTTTGGGGGTGGCCGTGCTAACGGGGCAGAGCTTCTGAAAGCACTGTCACTGTCCTGTCAATATCCATCGCATCTGTGACACACTTTGTTAGGATGGTCAGCGTCGTTGGTACCTGCTCAACTTACCTATGTATCCACAGGTGTGGTGGGCAGAGAACTTGGTACCAGGCTCATATCCCACCAGCTCCTAGCTGGGATTCAAAACACACTAGGTGCTCGATAAATATTTTTAGAGTGAGTCAATTTTATGGTCTCTTCTTAGAGTGAAGCACTATGCAGCTATGAAAAGGAAGTGCCAGAAATACTCAAGTTTCATAGGGCCCTTCCTGTGCCCTAGACACCATTTTAAGTGCTTTTTACAAACCAACCCGTGAAATACTGCCACAACAGAAGGCAGGTAGTACAGTGGCCATTCCTACATGATAGCCCAGGTGTAAAAAACACCTGCTTAAGGGCTGCACAGCCAGAAAGGGACTGAGCCTGAATTCGAATCTAGAATAGTATGGTGTGTGTGTGTGTGTGTGTGTGTGTGTGTGTGTGTGTGTGTGTGTGTGTGTGTGTGTGTGTGTGTGTGTGAGTGTGTGTGTGTACCAAAAGGCCTAGAGGTGTCCATCGGCTAAACATACCTATAAGCATTACTGCCACCTGTGGATGTTCCTGGGGAGGAAAATAATGAGGGGTGGGCACAGGTGGGAAACACCTGAACATTCACCTTAGCGTCTTTTGGATTGCTTGGCTGTTCAGCAATCACAAATAAATCAAAGGTCCTCAGAATCTATCACAGGCCTGATGCACCAGGAGCCAGGGAGCCAGGGGTTACTTTTAGGTACCCCTGAGGCAGCCAGCTTAGCTGCCCACAGGGGCATTAGAAATAGTAACATTTAACTTGTACAGAGGGTCTCCTCAGACCAAAACCCCAAGATCTGCTGAATGGGTCTGTTACGAGTCCTCAGAGCTAAGTGGTCAGGGAGTACCTTAGTGAGCATCTTCTTACAGATGGGGAAACTGAGGCTGGTCTCAATTTACACAGCTGTCCAGGTGGAGGGCATAATATTTGCACCTCATTTGGATGCCAGAATAAATGCCCAGGCAGTGAAGTCAGAGGTCAGGCTGGAGGCAGGTGTGGTGACCTGGTCTCTGAGAGTCTTCAGCTTTTCTTTGGAAGTTAGTTGCTGATTCTTCTTTCTCTGGAGAACAGGAACAGAATGTTTTAAGAAGGTGCCTTTCCTGCCTGATATCCTCTTTCAGGGTCTCCCACCCTACAAACCCAAGTGAACCATTTTCAAACCTAAACTACTGGTTGGATCGTTTTGCACCAATCAGTTCATTCCCTGTTTTAGATTTGACTAACTAATGAGCTGGGCTTGAATCTGATTGTTCCATTTAGATTGCACCTGATTGGTCCATTTTACAATTCAGGCAGCAAATATAAAAGGAAAGCTTGGTGGCTGCACAGATCTGAAGTGCCCTGAGGTACATCTGGTCTAAGGGTTTTGGCTGAGGAGGTGGGGAACCAAAGAACCCGATCTCCGTAATTGGGAAGATACAAATAAATAAGTATGAACGACTTTGACAATGCTTGGGATACAAACAGCTTTCATCATCTTCATTCTGCATCAGTTGTTTCACCTTTCCCATTAGCCACAGAAGCCTGCAGGCTGAGAACTGTGTTTTGGGTTCTCTTGGTCATGAATTCTGACTATATTCCCTTAAAAATAGGCATCCCCTGACTGGATTAAAAAGATGTGGTACATCTACACAATGGAATATTACTCAGCGACCAACAAAAAGAAACACATGTCTTTTGCAGCAACATAAACCAGAAAGAAAAGGAAAAATACCAGGTGGTTTCACTCATAACAGGAATATAATGGAACAGACGAGAAAATAATGATAATGATGAACAGCTATATACCAGAGACATTTTGTGGGGGTGGAATGGGGAATGGGATCAAAAACAGCAGCGGGGGCGGGGAATGCATGGGACTATGGTGATGGCACATGGGTGATTTGGTGATGGGAAACCCAAGGGGATTACAAATGAGATGGGAAAATGCACAAAATGATATAAAAATAAACTATTATATATTTAAAAATAGGCAACCCCAACAACTTTCAGGCTACCCACTGGAAGTGGTTTTACAAATACTTTTTTTTTTTTTCAACCAGTTTCTCCCAATTAAATCTCATGAGGATTTCCCCACATGTCAATGAGCAGGCTGTGGTTGGCATACATTTATATCAGAAGTTCATCATCATATAACATAACATCAACCAAGAACAATGCAGAGTTTTAAATTGGGGCTTTACGAAGGCCATCTGCTGCCTTCCATCAGCCAGCATCCCCTATTTTCCTTTGGGATTTACTAGGACAGCAATATCTTGATTCCCACAGATGACTAACTTCAGATGGTAACAATTTTGCCCATCAGCAGGCATAGGACTCAGAAGATTCTTCAACTGGTCCAGAAAAACTCCAAAGGGCATTGGTAGGAGATCTGGGTTGTCAGTAACACAGATCTGAATGCTGTATGAGAACCACCCCAAGCTCACATAAACACAAATAGTCTTCATACTGGATTGTGGTGACAGGCAACATCACACTGTTCTTGCAGTTGTACAGTGATTGCAGAGATAGGAGAACAGCGTGCTACAGATATGCCTGGGACTCCTGGGACTTTCAGTCAAGCTCACACCCCAGAGCACAAGTTCTGTGGCAAACTATGCCCAGGCTGGAAACATACAAGGAATTGATCAGTAGAGAACCACACATTTCTAGACCTTGAGTACTCTTGCAAGAAGTTCAAAGGTAGGTATGGGAGATGCAGGAAAAGCTTTTTCCCAACCACTGCAGAAAAGACAGAAGTGTTGAGGCTAGCCGGAGAGCTGGTTTGGCGAATGGACAGAATTCAGAATCTTCTGGATATTAGGTTCCTTCTGGGTCTTGGCGCTTGTTGAGATGGGAGTTTCTGACTACAGGAGGGTGGGTCCCGGTCTGCATCCTGGCTGCCAAGGATGTCAGTTCTGCTGGGGTTGGGGGGGGATGCTTGCAGATACAAGGGGGGAGGCTGTTGGAATTCACAGGCATCATTGATACCCACTTCAGAAATACATGGAGTCTCCACTGTGACAATTTGGTCAGAAACTTAGTGGTGAATTATATGTTGAAAAGATGCACATGCCCAGAACAGATCCCCTGAACAAGCGCTCTCTCTACCAGGGCCAGGGCAGCTGTATGACCGACATCCCACAGCCCATTTCAATTTCAATCAATTCCACCTGAAGTTGCTGTTCGGTCTTCACCATCACAGAGGATTCATGGGGATGCTGTTAACCCATGAAGACACTCTTGAAGGTGGTCTCTTAATTATTATTTCCGGGAAGCCTTGTCTCCCGGAGGAGAGCGAACCTCCTCCTTGGGAATCCAAGCCTCCTGGTTTTACTTTGGACACAGGCACACCCTCCCTACTACCAGCCTAAGAAGGGACCACCTCTGACTACCCATAGGCGTGATCCAAGGTACGGAGAGCAGCACCGACCCTTTATATAGGGTCACATGGCAGTGAGTTGCTCAGATCTAGCAACCAGTCCCCCTTGTCATCAGCCATGGTTTGGCTCCCCATGCGAAACAAGAGCGTCATCCACTAAGAGTTTGTACGGCCACCTTCGAGATACAGCCTCTTAAAACAAACAAGCAAAAAAAAAAAAAAAAGCAGCTCTAGACGTTGCATTAATAGCATTTCCAGCAGGACCCAAAGTTACGGGGCTGTGCCTATGCCCCCCATTGTACCCTTTCACACACCCGGAGGAGCATGAGAATGTCCTCAGCTTCAGACCGCAAATGACAGCCCCGGGGCCGGTGTCCTTGATACTATCTTGATCTTCCTGCTCCTGCTTGCTTTCCCTCAACTAGGGTAAGAGTTGCAAACACTTGGAATTCTAGGCCCAGGGTCGCTGCTTCCATTTCCGCCAACAGCAGTTCACGCACGCGCAGGGGCGGTCCGCGGTCTCCATGGCAACGATGACGCGCGCGCCACCGCCTCCCGCTTCTGCTCCAGCCGGGTCTCTGGGTTTGCGAGTCTTGAACTTGCACGTTGTTTGTGGGTATTGGAGCTCCTGCCTCACTCAGAAGTTACCCTCAGCCGCTCACCGGATCCACACACACTCAGGTGTTACCCACTTTCAAGAGTTAACCCACAACCCAAATACTACCCACTGGACTTATCTCACTCATCCTCAGGAGGTCCCCACGCCTCCTCACTTATGTAAATGAGCGCCTCAAGGGCAAGTGGGGGGGTCTGCCTCGTTCTCTACTCCACCAGCCATTGCATCTACCCAACGCTCCTCACCTCACGCAAACTCAGAGTTACCCGAGGGGTTACTCACTGCCAAAGCCTCGGAGGCGGGGGCTTCCCTCAGGTTGGCACCCCTTTGCGGCTCCGGCCCCCAGAATAGTGGCCAGGACAGGGCGGGTGTGCAGGAAACACCTGCACAACGCATGAATGACTGAATGATCCACACGCAGCCAGTGTTAACCACCAGCACTCAGATGAGACCCACAAGCTAATGCAGCTGAAACAGCACCTTCGCCCCAGCAGACGTCACCCAAGCTCAGAGCTCACCCCGGTGATGCCCGTTCTTATGCTGAGGTGCCGCTCACGCGAGTCAGCACCCGACTGCCCACTTATCCACACTGCCCGCATCCCCCAGACTTCCGTGTAGGGCACCCACCCTCCCACGGTCGTCACCCATATCCATTGAGATGACACCCACCTTGGCCGCCCCGTTCCCTCGTCACCTCAAGGCTTCTTTTCATTGGTGTGGTGGCGGCGCTGGTTCTTCTTGGGCTTCTCCTTGCCCCTTTTGCCATCTCCGGCCTTGCTCTCCTTCTCCGCCAAGTCCAGAGGCGGCCCCCTGCGCGCCCCGGAGGGGGCTCCGGCCCCCGGTTTGTCCCCGGGCCCCGACACACAGCCCTTGGCGGCCAGGGGCTTCCAGGGGCCCAGCACAGACGGGCACGGCTCCCGCCTCAGGACGCGGGCCGCATCCTCCACTGTGCGGCCCTCGCTCTGCAGGAAGCGGCTCAGCTTGCTGAGGAAGTCCACGTCCCGCTTCCGGGGCATGTAGACCACTCTCCACCGGCCGCCCTTGCCCTGGATCTCCCTGGGGATCGCGGCGTGACTGAAGTCCTCCGCCAGCAGAATGATGGCCGCCTTGGTCCCCTCTACTTCCAGAAAGGCCTTACTGGCCACTTCTTGCCCAGGGGCCTCAGGGAGAGCCGGATGATCTCTTCAAACTCCCCGTGACTGCAGTCCTCTGGGATGCGCAGGATCATCAGGGACTTGCAACTGTCCACCTCGAGGGCCTGGCACCCGTGCTCCAACAGAGCAATGTCCTTCGCGCCGAACAGCATCTTGCCCAGCCCCCGGAGGCAGCAGTATGCCTGCGGCGCATGCCCACCCTGCCCGGGAACCTGACAAGGATGCAGGCGCTGAGGCAGGCAGCTCACCCGCCCAACGTGTCCAAAGCAGTCAA